AGCATGGAGTCCTCCATGGCCTACACATGCGGTATCTGCTCCATCGTTGAACCTCCGTGGGCTGCAGGGACCTCCTTTGCCCTCTCCTACTCCATGCAGTTGAGCTGGGTGTCTCAGGTTCTCTGTCTTCCCCCTCCTCCTCATTGCTCCTGGCACCGATGCTCTCCTCTTTGTTTAGGCCGATGGTGTCATCTTTTGATCAGGTCAATGGCCTCTCCTCCAAGTTCTCTCCTTCTTCTTTTCAAAACCAGTTCTTCCTTCACAAGTATGGATTTGCAGAGGTGTTTCCCTATTGCTGATTGGCTCAGCCTGGGCTGGAGGTGGGTCTGCCTTGGAGCCAGGGGAGCTTTGTGAATCTTCTCACAGGGTCCATCACTGTAGCCACTTCCCCCACTACCAAAAATGGCTCCACACACACAAACCCAACATACCCACTCAGTAGTATAATCAGATGTAATGAGTTAGTGCAAGAATATGTGCCAGGGAATGCCTTCTCCCACAATAACTGTTTTTGTTGTGCATTTTGGGCTTTTGGCATTTGTTTTGGATTTAGCAGTCGCAGAATTGTGCATATATATAAAGAAAATATATTACTCCCTGCAAAACTCCAAGGAGAAGTCATTAAGTATGCATGGCATGTGTAGCTTTCCATACTCTTTGTCCCTGATAGTTTTAGTAGCTTCTCTTTGGAAGACTGATGTCCTCTTGATTTTTCAGTACATATTTAAAAGTCATTTTTATGTATTTGTGTTTTGACTGTATTCAACAGGAGAGTCTCATCGATGCCAGTGAGGACAGCCAGTTGGAAGCTGCTATCAGAGCCTCGTTACAGGAGACGCATTTTGATTCCTCACAGGCCAAGCCGGAGAGTCGATCAGATGAGGAGTCAGAGTCGGAGCTTTTTTCTGGAAGCGAAGAGTTTATTTCGGTTTGTGGATCGGAGGAGGAGGAAGAATTGGAGAATCCTACCAAGTTGAGGAAGTCTCCGCACAAGGACTTGGGGTATAAAAAAGAGGAGAGCCGGAGGCCTCAGCCTGAGCCCCCTGCAAGGACTGAGCCTGGGACAACATCAAATCACAGAGTACTGCCCTGTATTGAGGCAGGGATACCGGAGGAGTCAGCTGACAAGCCTGAAAGTACATTTCAGAGTCTAGATGCGAATGGTAAGTTGCCTTTTCTTTTTTACAGTGACCCGTGTTTTGTTGTTTTTTTTCCTGAAAATCTTTATACGCTGACAAGTATGGTTTCATCCCTTGTACTGAAAAGCTAAATCTTTTCTTACTCCGTCCTTGACACCAGATATCTGAGCGATTCACCTTGTCAGCAGCACCGCTTTGGCATAGTGGTGCCACAAACTGCAGGGTCATGTTAGTCACTGAGCTCAAGTTTCTTAGTTTGAGACCTTGTCCACAAAGGAAGTACGCATTGGTGTAATGCAGGTGCATATGGCAGGGCTTCTGCCAGTATGGTGGGGAGAAGTGGAATAACATCAGGTGGGACTAAGTCGTTAGCTTGGCTGCCTTGACGGTCTGGACTGAGTTTTAATAATGCAGTTTTGGCTGATACAAACGAGTCCCTGCAGTGTCTGTTCCTCTCTGTCCATCCCTGGGCTAGGATGCAGCAGGCTGAAGTGGTCTCAAAGGCAGAGTAGCACAGTGTGCTTTTCTCTGGGGACACTGATCGCTTTCCATCACTGTTATTAACTCTTTCAAGAGTCCTGAATGTGATGTGTGTATTTTAAATATGTGGTAGAAGTTTATCTTCATAGACTGGAACCTTCTATTTGTCTCCAGTCCCCTAACCCTGCCACGCTGTGCAGTAAAGCATGCCACCCCAAATCTACAGAAGAGCTCAATTCAGCTGCCTTGTTGTTTGTTAACGTGTAGTAACTTCCTTTATGCTAGGACCAAAGGCACAGCTGATGCTAAGGTATCCAGATGGAAAGAGGGAACAAATTTCACTGCCTGAACAAGCTAAACTTCTGGTGAGTGGAGCTGATCGAAATTGTTGTTTGAGTACAGGAGGGCTGAAGCTGGAGAATTTCTCTTCCTGTGTTCCACTATTGCAGTCGGATCTAGTGAAGGTGGTATATCCAAGGGGTGCTTGTGCTGTCATTCTCTTGTGTTTCTTCCCTGTCCTTCCAGTCAACAGACTCTGCTGGCTCTGTGTGTTTCCATCGCTGCTGGGTTGTGTGTATGTTCCAGTGTCTTCCTTAGTCCCAAAAACGTTTGTTTCCTTTCTAAAATCACTCTAAACTGCTTTTGCATTAATCATGAAATTAATGTAAAATACTCTCAATGCACTCATTTGTGATTTTATTTTCTTTTTTTTTTTTTCTAAATGGAAAAGTTCAGTCATTGCCCATGGTCAGACACCAGTAAAATCAAAGGAAAAACTCTTCATTCTTTTTCTCCATCTCTTTCACCACACTTCCATACTCCCTTCTGGACATGGATGACAGAGCAGACTTTGGAGGACGTTCTCACAAAACAAATTTATTACTATATTATTTAATTGCTGTGCTTCAAGTGTGTGTCTCAGCTGTGCTTTAGGCTTGTCTGCCTTGGAGAAGTCAATGAGGATGGCAATTCCATCAAAATTTTGCAGTGTATCTGCAAAAGTATCTGGAAGCAGTGTGTAAAAAGGTCACTATATACCCATTAGATGTGAGTTTTCATGACACAGTGGCCACTTAAGCTCGTTTTAACATAATCAACCTAAAAGCTCTGTATTGAAGTCTTAGGGAAGGCAAAAGCACACCTCTTCAGAAGGATCTCATGCAGGTTTAAAAGTGTCACATCTCTTACAGAAGATGAGGCTATAATCTAATCTGCAGCACTCTGGAAATCCTCATCCTTAACTCTTTTGCTTGAAAATAAAAGGAAAAAAAAAAGTTATCTTTGTTACACCGTCATCTCAAAATCAAGTGCAAGCGTAAGGTTGTGGACTGCCTGCAGGGCTACACGTGGAGTCCTGGGGCTGAAATCTAGAGACTTGAGGAACACTGGCAGAGCATCACTCTTAGGAGCCAGCTTCACTTTCATAACTTCATTCTTGCTTTGTTGTAGCATCCATCGGTCTATAATCCTTTTCCAAGTACTCTGTATCTTAACTGCTTTCTGAAAGCAGTCTGCTAAATAAAGTTGCAGATATTATTAAACATGTAGCACTTTTGAATACTTAATTAATTTATTTAGGTGATACATAGGTGTAATATTGACATATTCCTGATAATCCTGTCTTCTAGTTTGACTCATTTTATGGACTGTGGTAGTTAAAGGAAGTTTATCTCAGCATGTGATTTCCTTTGCTGCTGCTTACTCTGCAGTCAGTAGAGGAATTTAGGTGAGTCAAGGTTTGTGGATAAAGATATCCTTTTATTGCAGAGCTGAACAGACAGCTTTTGTGCTCAAGTCATGTGATCTTTCATAGCCGTTTCAGTCAGATCAAGATTGAGTCTCAGGTGTTTCTTTGTGAGCATTGTTTCCATGCTGATTTTTTTCAGCCTTTAGTTACTTCCATTTTAAAACTGTCTGGAACTATAAAAATAAATTGTTTAAGGAGACAATTGCACTTTAGAAATTTTAACTGATGATAACAGGATGTTGCTCTGGCTGGTTTTTAAAGCAGTTTTTAAAATCATTGCATTGTTACCAATCAAGCTTGTCTTCTTTACACACAGTTATCTCCAGGTTTATGCTTCCAATATTACCGTAACCCGTTTTTCCCTGTCAAGCAAAAAAAAAAACCTGGCAAGTACCCTTTTATAGAAGCAATTGCTCTTTGTGTGCAGTGAAGTAGCTGACTTCACTCTGTTCAGCAACTCAGCCCTTTGCATTGCTGACTAGTTGCCTGAATAACTTGTTGTCTACCAAATGTTGTAAGGTGTGCAGGCAAGGCTGGCCTTTAAAATGGGGCAGGGGGGGGATGTGGGCAGTAAAACTTAACTGAGTTTTTACATACAGTGGTTTGTAAAGGAATTTTTGATCCTTATTGCCTGAGAAAGAGGTCAAATTCACTTACATGCATTCCTCATCACACACAGTCATTGTAATCTGCAAAACCTGTTGGAGAACAGTCCAGGTAAAAGAGGAGGCTGGGGTGACAATCTCCTTGTACCAAAGGTTTGTGTGTGGATTTTGATGAATTCAGAAGAAATCTCCATGCAGGTATGTCCTGGCTGTTCTGCAGTCATCAAATTGTGGATAAGTCCAGGTTGAAAAGGATCCTTGGACATGATCTGGTCTAACCCTCTCTTGAAAGCAGGGCTGTAGATGAGGTTATCCAGGGCCCTCTCAAGCTGCCTTTAGAATAATTTCAGTAAGGATCATTCCACCACTTCTCTGGGTAGCTTACTCCGAAGTTTAATTTCTCTCTCACAGTAAAGAATTTCTTCCTTATATTCAGATAAAATTTCCCCTGGAGCAGCTTCTGTGCCTTGTCTCTTGTCACCGTGCGTGTCTATGAAAGCAATGCCTTCATCTTCTCTATATTGGAACACTGGGATGATATTCCCACCAAGACTTTTCCTTTCTAGGCTGAACAAATCAAAGTAATTCAACCTTTCTTCATGTACCAAGGCGTGTCCTGTACTCTCGTCATTTTGATGGCCCTCCACTAGATACTGTCTGTTTTTTCCTTGTCCTTCTTGAATGTGGAGACACCAAAACTAAACACACTATTCCAAGTGTGGCCCAGCAGAGTGGCATAGTCGCATCCTCTTGAAGCAGCCCAGGTTTGCTGTCGCTGCTGCAAGGACGAGCTGCAGACACATGTTGATCTTTCTTGATGCCTTTTGACAATCCATGACATCCATGATCTTGACTGTAGGCAAGCAGCAGGCTTCCAAGACTCAGAGTTAGGTTGCCAGTTGGGTGCCTCAGTCCCCTGCAGAAGGAGTCATTTCCACCAGCATATGCTGCAGCTACTCCCTGCTGGTTTTGACCTGTTGAGTAGGACCAGTGGGTCCAGTGTCTTCCAGTGGAACTTGTTTGTCCTCCCCATTTATTTCCAAGACTTTATATTGGTTTTTCAACTGGGGTTTCTTTTTTTTTTTTTTTTTAATTTTTCCAAATAAGAGGAGAGCTGCTGCTTTGCTGCCAGAGGTCATGAGTCTTCAGGGTGCCTTTTCCTACAAGTTGCTATCCTCCTTGTGTTTGAGTCTTGCTTCTGGTCATCCTGTTCTGTTTGCACTGCAGTTCTTGCCCTTGCAGTGTTGCTGCCAGCATCCTACTGCTTTCTTGCTCATCTTCCCTTATGCAGAAGAACATCCTGACCTCTTCCTGAAGCTCCTTGACCTCCTGCTTCACCTCCATTGATGCCCCTGAAACATTAGGAAGAGTGCTGCGGGCTGTTGTGGGACCAACAGCTTTCCTCCCAGAACACAAACACTACAATGAACAGCCACCCAAGTGATCTCCTGAGCTCCTTGCCTGTGAGCTGCGGCAGGAATTGCCAAGTGCTTCTTTGCAACCACTTTTTTTCTGTGTGCTGGGTCGCTGTGGTCCTGAAGTGGCAGCCAAATAACGAGGGGAAGCTAGAGGAATAATTAGTATCAGTAGAAGTTAATGTTGCTAGCTTACCTCCTTGCACTTAATATACTGATACAAGTTGCCCACCAAAACTATGCGAAAGGTATTGTTGGGACCCCCTTATTTCTTCATACTTTATGTTTTATTACCTATTCATTGTCTTTTTTTCCCCTTTTTAAAAAGCTATGACTTACCATTCTGCCCGAGTCTTGCTCTGTTGCTCTATCACCTACTCTCCTGCCAATCTCCATTTCTCTATCCCTGTCTAATTGTACTTTACACTCTCATCTGCTGTGTTTCCTGATGAACTTGGGAAATCTCTCTCATTGTAGCATGGGCACTAACTCTTCTTGCTATGTCTGCTTGTTGGATTGTGAGGCTGATGCCTCTTCATCCCAATGCCCTCTGTATCCTGCCTCAATTGCTACTGTAGGCAGAGAGGTCAATTAATTGGAAAAAAAAAAGACAAAAACCAAAACCAAACCCCACCACATCTTGAAGGCAGGAAAATAATTACATTTTTAGTAAAAATACTGCATTTATTTTTGTCAACGTTACCTGACAAAAATGTTTCTTTGGTAGCTTTTAGGTTTAATATAAGGGTAATATCTGATAAACAAGTGAGGGGGCTTCTGTTTTGGGGCACTTAAGGATTTTTTTGGAAATCTTATTTTGCTGTGATTTGAATATGTGATGTTGAATTCAGCTCACTTGAATTAACGTATTATTATGTATGTCTTCTGTTTAAAGAATCAGTTAGGTAAGAGATCACTTGGTAATTATTTTGTATGTTTATTCTTACCATGTGTGGGTCAAATTAGACATTAAAGTAAAAGAAAGTCTATACTATATACAAAATTTCCTTAGTGATTACAAGGGAAAACAGGATTTCTTTTTTTTTTTTTAACATTCTTGTGTGTTGTTTTGAATTATATGACACTCCTTTGCCTTTCTTTCTCTCCAGGCTCTTGTGAAACATGTCCAGTCAAAAGGATACCCCAATGAACGCTTTGAACTTCTCACCAACTTCCCCCGAAGGAAGCTCTCTCACCTGGACTATGAGATTACGTTACAGGAGGCAGGCTTGTGTCCTCAAGAGACTGTCTTTGTGCAGGAAAGGAATTAGCACTGTGGCCTGAGTTCTCCCAGCCTTCCTCCCCTCTCCTCTTTGCCTGGGACACCAACTCATGAAATATATGCAGTTGAGGGTCATGGGATTGCAGTGCTGAAATCAGGCAGGCAGCTGGCTGGCCCTTTTCTCTCTTTCCTTCTCCTGCTCTAAGTGACCAAATGAGAGTGTTCAGAGTTGTATTTTCTTCCTCAGCCTGGGCCCTGCGCAGAGCATTGGGAAGAACATCTTCCCTTTGTTTTCATGGAATAAAGTCAAGCGGTGATCTGTGTATCCACTACGCTGGGGTTTGGAGTGGCCATAATACACGTACCCTTCTCGCTGCTATTCTTAAATCTGTTTTGTTTAATTTATTTTTGAAAATAGTGTATGATAAGGCACTGAGACATCCCTCTGTAAGGAGAGAATGAAATCTTCAGTACAGTCTTTCCTTTGTTTTGATTCTCTACACAAAAGGTCTCCATTAACCTTACAGCCTTCTTAGGGTTTTACTTATCTAGCGCTCTGCAAAAACTTGGTTTTTGGGAAAGAGTTGGATTGAGCTGTGGTGAGATACTGCTTGGCTCAGAGGAAAAGCTGCGTGTCTGCTGTTGGAGCAGAACTGACTCCTTAGTAGAAGTAGGTGGAGTTTCCATCTGTTCTCTTCACAACATCCCCTAAAAGTCTCCTTTTTACTTGCTCTCAGGATTTTGCAAATGATGATGGAAGGTGGCAGGATACTGTAAAGATCTTGGACTCTCTGGAAAACACCTGTCATAAAAACTTGCCAATTAGTTGGCTTTTTTATTTCTTTGCGTGGTATTTTGTTTGGTTTTCCCCAGGAGTGACTAGATTTGCAGGGGTTTTAGAGCACTGTCTGCAACTGAGCAGGACAGCAAGTCCTAGTCAGATTTTCTTTCATTAATTCAAAACATATACAGCCTTGTCAAACTGCGGAATTAATTAAAGCTTTAATTGCAGCTCCCAACTCTTTCTTTCTAAGAAAAAGAGTAACCTTACACTCCTGATTGCTATCAAAAACAAGCCTGGTGGCTTGAATGCTCTAGCCTGCTTTTTGTTCTGTTTTCATGTTCATTTGCCGTCACTTACCTCTAAATCTGGAAGGCTGTATGGAAAACTACTCCTTTATTGAGGTTTTCTTTTCAGCTCTGGAAGCTGGCACCAGAAGTCATGCAGCATATCCTGTGCGTACCCTGGGCCATGCAGAGTGCCCTGTTTTTCCAGTGTCTTCTCTAAACACTGAGCTGTTGATCATGTTAGTTGGTGTTCAGTGGTTAGAAATTTACCACAGACTAAAACTTTTCAAGGTATTTTGCCTTTAATTTCTTACTAGCCTCTATCCTTTGGAGTCTTTAAATGTGAGAAATCACAGAAAATGTCTTTCATTCTCCATGATAATATTAGCTCACAAGTGTCTTCTGCTCATAATTGAGGTTTTACATGTGATCATACAATTGTATAAATTTATTTCCATTCTACACAAAAAACTTTTGAATTCTACTGCAAGCTGCGATATCAGGAAAGCAAAATCTGGTCACAGTTTCCTGATGAATAGTTTATGTGACATGAGATGTTATTTTTGGTTTGTAAAGATGCTCCGTTGTGGAAACTGCTTCCCTCTGTTGGGAAGTGAGTTGCAAGGCCAGCAGAGGAGAGGGGGATGTTGGTGTTTGGCCTGTAAAGCAGCAGTGGCACCTCTAGACTGAAGCATCTTTTGTGTTTCTAGGATATCCAAATTCGTAACTCAGATTTGGACGTACGAGAGAGCGGGACAGAAGGAAACCCTTTCCATGTAGGTCTAATGCTTCCCTAAGTAGCTTCAGCTGGCAAGTTGAAATAACTCACTCTGACATTTGTTGCTTTGAAACTCATTACCTCTTCTGTGGTTAGCCACAGGAAAATTAAGGCAGGCTGCCAGCAGGATGCAGTAACCAACAGGTGTACCAAGAGTCCTTCAGTGTCCCTCAGGCAGGTTGGGATGGGAGCATGTTGACCTTTCCTGCTCTCCTGCCTGTCCCTGTCAGCGTAAGGCAGGGAGCCTTTGTGGTTCCACTCATTCCCCGCTTGAGTTGTGGCTGGTTGGCTGTGTTTGCTGGTGGAGAGCCAGCTCATTTGGGACAGGGTTGGGTTTGTATCTGCTCTGGGAACGTTGTTCCACGTCAGCTTTTCTAGCAGTTAAGTTAAACATAGAAAATTGACTCTGCCTTTTCAGTCCTACATCTGTTTTATTGGCAGCTTCTCTTCCTCCCCCCGCCCCTCCTGGTTTGTACTAGTGTACGTGGGGCTAGGTTGTGATATCTTAAACATATCAGCTGCATCAGCATGCGGGGAAACTGCTTTGCAGGCAAGAGCATGAACTTCTTCCATCAGTTCTGCTGCTGGAGATAGTGCAGTGTGTGGTCCCATATGGTGAACCTTCCTTTCTTACCCTCTCTTTCAGAGCTGCAGGGCAGCGAGCAGCTCACAACTCTTTCTTTCTAAGGAAAGGAATAACCTTACACTCATCATTGCTATCAGAAATAAAACTACAGCCCTAGGTTAGCTTTTTGTTGCTTTTCTTATGCCAAGAGCAGCTTGGTCACCTCTTGCAAGGAAGCAAACACACTTGACTGCTGCAAGTTTATTTTTAAACCATTGAGAAACATGCCTCTGGAGCACAGTAAATAGTTTTGCCTGCTGGTGTAGTGGGACCAAAGTGTGCTTATGCTCTCAATACTTTCTTGAGGTTTTATTTAGAAAAATATTAATCTTTTTATAACCTAACAGAGAAAGAAGAACATGAAATTGAAGACTTACATTGAAAATAGGATTTTTCTTCTGTCTCACAGTTCCTAGTAGTTTGTTCTGTTCCAAGAAATTACAAGCTTGTTTGTTTTGTTTTGGTTTTTTTTTCTGGCACAATGTGGTTTTTTCTTTCAGTTTTCTTTTGCTTTCATCTGTGAGCAGGAGGCAGAGAAAAAGATTTTTTAAGAAATACGCATCTCTGCGTGCATCTTTTCTCTTCCTTCATTCCTCTCCCCTCTTTCCCCCTTCTTCCCAACCCAAATAAAAACAGCGCTGCAGCACACATGTCGGTCAGCTGTGCTACAGTGTCTGAAAGCTGTTAAGAAATAGCACCAACGGTACAATCACTTTAGATCTTCATTTGTCCTTTATTTATTTAAGAGCTTCAACAAGCTCTTTGGAGTTCAGAGGAATTTGTTTTGCTGGTCTGAGGAACGTAGCTGAAAACATCAACCAAGTTATGCCTGCAAGAGCTTGTAGCAGTGAAGGTCTAAGCTAGTTGGACTCTTAATTTTAAAAAGCCTTTGTCACAATTGCTTCTAGATGTTAAATCTGAAGTTCAAACTGCTTTTGACAAGGTTAGAAAAAATGCCTTAAATCTCTGATTGCAAAATAAGATGTTGAAATTTGAAGGACAAAGGAAAAAAATCCTTCAAAGGCTGTGGTTTGTGGTTTTTATGGGTGTTGCTTGGACATAGTTTGTGTGTTGTGTTGCAAGGACTGCCATGAGCTTGGAGAAGTGCATGTAGATAGTGGAAGTCTTTCTGTGTAGAGAACTAAACAGAGCTATCATATTCCAAGCTGTAGCTACTTGCTGCTTGTGGAGCAGTGTCCTTTGCATGTGCTCTTCATCTAACGATGCTTTCTTTTGACATTTAATGTCTCATTGCAGCTAATAGTCACAGTCACAACTGGTATTCAGAAACAGAAGGCAAAATGAGTGCTGGCTTTCCCTGCCAGGTGCTGTTGACACATCTACTGTTGGTTTCCCACTTGTCATCATTCAGGGCCTCAGAGAAGGATTTCAGGTCTTCCTGATGATACAGCTCTAATTCAAGCTGATTGACCAGCTTCAACCTTGCGGTGTTCCCTACTGACTTAAAAAGGGAAGATAAAGGTTGTGCCAAGCATTTCTGGGTGTACTTGTGTTCTTTTTGTGAGGCTTTGCATTAAGGTCTGTGATTTTTACATTTCAGACGTTCGTGGACTGAAGCATGTTCCCCTTCTTGATAAATCAGAGAAGTTGACAACATCAATATGAAAAGAATGTGCATGTATGTGTGTAATAGCCTTGTAAAATATAATTATCTGTCAGAACACATCCAAAGGTACCATTGTTCCCAAATACATTCAAACAGCAGTTTTGCATCAGCTTACTCTCCAGAGCTTACGGGATCTGCTGCCATGCTATTGCAGGAGAACAACACCTCTCGTCTGTGAAGCCCACCTGTTGTTCACTGCTGCAAACAGCTTGCTTTTCACATCGTCCACTACTTTCACAGATGCATTTTTTTAAAGACTACCAAATTTATATATTCATCTGCACCAGCTTATACCAGCTTCCACTTTTACTGGTGCTATGGTTGGTACCTGCAGAAACTGGCAGCTGGTTTTAGTATGTGTTTTAATAAATAAACCTCACTGCTGAAAGGCCCGATTCCTCAAATATGCTTTTTAGAAAACTTCCACATTGTTGTATGCTTTGCTGTTTGATGTACCTTTGGACTATTGAAAACTCTTGCAGTATAATTGTATTCTTGATGGCTAAGTGGAAGAGGTTCTTCAAAGAACTAGAAAGAAAAGGCAACACCCTCAAAAATTATAAGTCTTGTCTCTGTGCAGGAGTCTGAAGACAGCTGCCCTGTAGCAGAGGGCATGACGCGCGGTTTGCAGCTTGTGCGGGCAGCTCATGACAGCCAGATCTGAGAACGTGCTCCTCACCTCTGGAAGAAGCTGGGATGCTGAATCCTGGCTTCTCGAGTCTCTACTTGCTGGAGCACCAAGCTTGTTCACAGGGACTGAAGAGCAACAAGGGCTAAACTAGAAGTGATTTTCTTTTTGGGGACAAGGCATCACTTGGGCTGTGCTTTGTCAGGTACTAAATGCTGCGGAGATGCGTAGAATGTGGTGTTTGTGGTTGTTTTTCTAAACCACATAAAGAAACAGGTAACATAGAGGCCTCTGTGGGAACGTCCACGTGAATGGGAAGACACATGTAACTTCAGGAACTTGCCACTTAATTTTTGTCCCTTAGTTTTTAGTAAATGTCACTACTTCTTGTTTAATCCCTTCTTAGTCAAGTTAGTAAAAAATAGGTAGTCCTGCTGCTCCTCCTCCTCTTAGAACACAGAGATGGGCTTTAGATGGATGAAGTGCAAAGTCTCAGTCCCGTAAGAACTGAGTGTGCCTTGTTTTTAACCCTTTCTATTTATTTATTTTAACAGAAATTATTTGCTGTAAATGGAACAGCTAGTGTTTTAAAGGCAGAACAAAACTCATGTCTTGAATCCTATATTAACCATCTGTGATCTTGGAAATACAGTTTGGAGGCTGTTGAGGTTGATATTCTGCAAAAAAATTCTTGTGGAGATTTTCGTTGTCTGAGCCCAAGATTTTACCACGGTTTGGGTCAACTCTGCTATCTGCTTCCAAACGGGTGAGGTTAATGGATACTCTTTCTGTGATGTTGTACAGGATGGCTTTTACTCCAGTCTCCTCTTGTCCATGAGATGCTTAGTGTCTGTCCACTCCCAAGAAATATAGCCATATGTAT